GTGGACCAAGACTCAATATGGCGTTCAACCCAGTTGGGGATTGTGACGTTCCAACCACTTAACACATCCATTACCAACATATATCTAACCTCAGACCTAAACCTAACTCCAAGCTGAGTCCAAAGCTACAGAATGTCTTTGAAATAGCCAGGACTAAGCACTGAAAAATGTGGCTAATATATTTGTGATGAGTGGTTTTTGGCGCCCCCTACTGGTTGGCCTATAAATACTGGGGAACAGCTGACAATTTTACAGAACCTGTTCGGCCCCCAATGAATGCTCCGGTCTGGCTATCTTCTTTGTAGTGTTGGAGTTGGGTATACGAGGGATTACTGGACTTTTTATTGCATTACAACTGTTGGTGAACCAGAGGGGAGGTTAACCAGAGTATTTGTTTTTCTCTACCATTCATTACAGGTAATTATATTACATTAAATGTTAGTAATTTATGTTGTCAGTTGTCAGTTATGTTTACCACTTTGTTAGAAACGGTTGTCAGTTATGTTTGTCAGTTGCCAGTATGTTTACAGTGTCTCTTAGATTACTTGTTAGTTGTTTTTAAGATGTTTACTTTATTTTGCTTTGCTTTTAAGTTATTTAATAACTGATTTTACTTGCTGTCTGTATTTGTTTTTCTAAATTGTTTGATTTATATAGAAAAAAACAAAAACAAATTGTATTGAACTCATTTTAAATGTATATTGTATAAGAAAGAAAAGAAAACTATCAAATATTATAAGAAAAGGTCCTGTGAATTTAAGTAGATTCATTGTGTATGTAAGTGTCATGATGGGCTAAGGACTTGATCCATACGCAGAACACTACTGGAGACTGAGTAAAATTTTGAACAAAGTTTATTGAGAAACACACACAGAGAATATAATGACTGGTTCAGGTGCTGGTCCGGGACTGGTTTCAACTCCTTTCTGGAGAGATGAGAGTTTGATTAGCTTTGCAGTTTGATTGTATGATGAGAGAGTTGAATCTTTTAATGTACCTGAAGAGGTTCTGACAGATCCTATGAGAGGGGGAACCGGTTGGGTCCAGAGACAGTTGAAGAGGCAGAGAGTTAAGCAGCAGCAGCGTCTAGCTTCGAGCTGGAGAGTTTTCAGACTTGAGTATGTTTCCAAGCTCTTCGTCTGAGAGCTGATGAAGGAATCCAGATTGAGATCTTCAGGTTTGGCTTACTTTGGCGTGCAGGCAGGTTCTCAGATTAAGCTCACCCAGAGCTTCAGACGTCGGTGGGATTTCCTGTGGTCAAAGAAGACAGAGGCAGATTAGAAAAGCTTGTTTCTCTCTAGAGTCTACAAGATTTCCTAAATACTTAGAGGCTCAGGTTCGCTAACCAAACTTGGTCAACACTGCGGCGTCGAAGGAAGGTCTGACTGCTGCTTATGAAGGGTGGTCTTCTGATGAGCTGATGATCCTCAGGTGTGGTGAGGACTCCAGCTCAGGAAGCCCACAGCGCTCTCTGCTGGAGACAGGTGGCAGATCTCCAGATCCCAACAGTACCCCCCTCTCAACGACCGCCTCTTGGCGGTCCAGAAGACGTGGATGGGAGGGACCTCTCATAGTCCTCGATGAGGGATGGATCGAGGATGTAAGAACCAGGAACCAAGGTGCGGTCCTCCGGACCGTAGCCCTTCCAGTTGATGAGGTACTGCCAACCGCGACCTCGCCGACGGGAGTCCACGCTCCGGCGGACTGTGTAGGCCGGATGGCCGTCAATGTACAGAACGGGTGGAGGGGAGTCGGATGGCGGGCAAAGTGGACTGGTGATGACAGGTTTAATCTGAGAGACGTGGAAGGTGGGGTGGATACGCAGGGATGATCGCAGGTGTAGGCGGACAGCGGATGGATTGATTATTTGAGCAATCTTGAATGGGCGGATGAACCTTGGAGAGAGTTTTCTGGACATAGATTTTAGGGGAATATCTCTGGTGGATAACCATACCTCTTGCCCAAGGGTATAGTTAGGAGCAGGGCGACGCCTAGAGTCAGCAAACCTTTTGTTATTGGCAGAAGAACGGTTGAGGGCGGAGATGGTTTCGTTCCAGGTTCGGTGACAGCGGCGGATGTGGTGGTGAACGGACCTGACTGATATCTCCCTCTCGTCTGCAGAAAAAAGTGGGGGTTGGTAACCCAGAGACACCTGGAAAGGGGACAGACCGGTTGCAGCAGAGTTTTGAGTATTATGAGCATATTCGATCCAAGTCAGAAACTGACTCCAGTCAGTAGGATTATTTGAGGTTAAACAGTGGAGAGTGGACTCGAGTTGCTGGTTCATCCTCTCCGTCTGCCCATTGGTTTGAGGATGATAACCTGAAGTGAGGGAGACCTTGCAATTGAGAGCTGTACAGACAGATTTCCAGACCTGAGAGATGAACTGGGGACCACGATCAGAGAGAATTTCCTGGGGTATGCCATGGAGCCGGAAGACATGTTTAATGAGTAGCTGGGCGGTCTGGAATGCTGTAGGTAGCTTCCTGGGGGAAATCAAATGGCAGGCTTTGGAAAAACGGTCAACAATGGTGAGAATAGTGAACATACCTCAGGATATGGGAAGACCGGTAACAAAATCCACAGCTATGTGGGACCATGGGCGGGTTGGAACAGGTAGAGGACGTAGCAATCCAGAGGGCGGTTGATGGGTGGGTTTAATTCTGGTGCAGATGGGACAGGCCAGTACGTACTCCTTCACGTCCTTGTGAAGGGACGGCCACCAAAAACGACGTGTGATCAGAGCAATAGTTCTGCTTACACCAAGATGAGCTGAGAATTTGGATGTGTGCATCCACTGGATGAGGCGGGATCTCACTGAGGAAGGAACATATGTTTTATTTGGAGGACCGTTACCTGGGTCAGGTTCAGAGGCCAGGGCTAAGTTGATGAGATCGGTGATTTCCCAGGAGACGGCTCCAACAGTACACGAAGAGGGAAGAACAGGCTCAGGTGTTTCAGGTCGATCAGAGGAGTACAGACGAGTGAGAGAATCAGGTTTCACCTTCTTGGAACTGGGTCTGTAAGAGATAATTAGGTTGAAACGGGAGAAAAACAAAGACCATCTGGAGTGACGAGGATTGGATCTTTTGGCTGATTGGAGATATGCCAGGTTCTTGTGATCAGTCCAAACTAATACTGGATGCTCGGCACCTTCGAGCCAGTGTCTCCATTCCTCCAAAGCGAGTTTAATGGCCAGGAGTTCTCTGTCTCCGACATCATAATTTTGCTCAGCCGGGGAGAGCCTACGTGAAAAAAAGGCACATGGGTGAGTCTTTTGATCAGAATCAGACTGTTGAGAAAGAACTGCTCCAACACCGGAGTCAGGTGCATCCACCTCTAGAATTAACTGCTTAGAAGGATCAGGCTGGACCAGGATGGGTGCACTGGAAAAAAGAGTCTTAAGTTTCTTAAAGGCTGCGTCCGCCTCAGGTGTCCATTGGAAAGTCTTCTTTACCAAAGTCAGGGCTGTGAGAAGTAGAGCAGTTTGGCTATAATTTCAAATTAATCGTCTATAGAAATTAGCAAACCCCAGGAACCTTTGAAGTTGCTTATGGTTCTCTGGAGTAGGCCAATCCAGAAAAGCCCTTATTTTTTCTTCAGATGGCTTCACCTGCTCGCCTTCAAGCACAAACCCAAGAAATGTAACAGATGGTTGGTGAAATTCACATTTCTCAGCCTTAACGAAGAGCTTGTTTTCGAGCAGCCTCTGAAGAACCAGGCGGACGTGTTTCTTGTGATCTGAGAGGTTCCTGGAATAGATCAGAATGTCATCGATGTAAACGAAAACAAAAACATTTAGAAAATCTCTGAGGACGTCGTTGACTAGGGCTTGGAAAAAGGCAGGAGCGTTTGTAAGACCAAAAGGCATGACCAAATGCTCAAACTGGCCAATGGGGGTCTTAAAGACTGTCTTCCATTCATCTCCTTCTCTTATCCTAAGGAGATGATAGGCGTTTCTTAAATCAAGCTTGGTGAAGACCGTAGCTCCTTGAACTGGTTCTAAGGCTGATGCCAGTAGTGGAAGTGGGTATTTATTTTTGATGGTTATCTGATTCAGTCCCCTGTAGTCAATACAGGGTCGAAGGGAACCGTCTTTCTTTCCCACAAAAAATAAAAACCAGCACCGAGAGGGGATGAAGATGGCCTTATAATACCAGCAGCTAGAGACTCATTTATGTATTTCTCCATCGTTTCACGTTCAGGCTTGCAGATGTTAAATAATCTACTGCTGGGAAGAGGAGCTCCTGGTAATAAATCTATGGCACAGTCATATGGTCTGTGGGGTGGAAGACACGTCGCACTGACCTTACTGAAGACTGGTGCCAGATCATGATACTCGGAAGGAACAGAAGAAAGGTCAGGAGAGTCCATCTCCCCCCTACCTCTAGGGGACTGAATAGCAGGAGCTGCAGAACGAAGACATGACTTGTGACAGGAAGTGGACCAAGACTCAATATGGCGTTCAACCCAGTTGATGTGGGGATTGTGACGTTCCAACCACTCAAATCCGAGCACCAGGGAGGAACACGCTGAGGGGAAAACAAAAAAAAGTTAGTCTCACGATGGTTTCCAGAGATGAGAAGTTCTAATGGCTGGGTGTGATGAGTGACTTGGTGTAATCTTTTTCCATCAATAGCAGCAACTCTGAGGGTTTTTCCAAAGGAACAGTTTCAATCCTCAGTTTCTGGACCAGATTCGAATCTATGAGGTTCTTCTCGCACCCAGAATCAATGAAGGCTGATAATGTTAAAGTATGGTTGGAAACAAACAGGGTTGCAGGTAACAGTAAATGAGGAGATTTATCAGTCTTAAGATGTCAGACTCCTCACATCCTCTGACGGACCCTGGCTATTGATTTAGCCGGGCAGGAAGCAATTAAGTGTCCGGGCTCACCACAGTACAGACAAAGATTCGCCTTGAATCTCCGTTGTCTCTCTTCAGGTGACAGTCTTGTATGCCCAATCTGCATGGGTTCAAACTCCGCTCCTTCTGCAGCTGAGGAGGAAAATTGAGTGATCTGAGCAGAAGCTGGGGGTGACTGATTCTTAATCCTTGGTCTGGAACTGGACTCTGGGGATCTAACAGAAACATGAGTGTGATTAGTTGTAGGAGCGGAAACAGACATTCCTAGGTTCCTTAGCCTAGAATTGTTTTGAATTCGGAGTCTGTTATCCAATCTTATGGTTAACCGAATAAGATCTTCCAAACTAGTTGGCTCATCAATTGTGGCTAGTTCATCCCTGATGTTATCGTTTAGAGCCTGGAAAAAAGCACTTTTAAGTGCGCATTCGTTCCAACCAGAAGCGGCGGCTTTAACCCGTAAGTCGATGGAGAACTCTGCCACTGTCAGATTACCTTGCTTAAGACTAAGCAAAGCTCGAGAATCAATGGTTTGATCTAAATCCTGGTTAAAAACTTGAGAAAATTCAGTCAAAAATTCAGAAAAGGTGCATGAAAAACTGTTTTCAGATGATAACCTGGCCTCCGCCCATCCAAGAGCTCGGCCAGAGAGTTGAGAGAGAATAAAAAAAAATCTTCTTTTTGTCATTAGGAAAACTAGCAGGTGAATTCTCAAACAGTAAACAACACTGGAACAAGAATCCCTTACATTTAGACTGTATACCTGAAAATCTTTCAGGTAGACTCGGACGGAGTTCAGGAAATGACGTCATCGTCTCTGACCCTTGAGACGGACGTTGTTCGGAAACAGGAAGCACTGCTGGTGCGGTGTTAGCGGTTCTCACATAGCTAGCGTATCTTTGTAAAGTCTGATTCTCATGGTCAACATAAAGCATTCAACTCACGAAGGGTTTGAGCTTGTCCTTGGATTTGGGCATCCTGTTCCTCAAGTCGCCTTCAGAGGTGCTCTGCTGGGTCTTGTGTTTGGCCGCAGTGTTCTGTCATGATGGGCTAAGGACTTGACCCATACGCAGAACACTACTGGAGACTGAGTAAAAGTTTGAACAAATTTATTGAGAAACACACACAGAGAATATAATGACTGGTTCAGGTGCTGGTCCGGGACTGGTTTCAACTCCTTTCTGGAGAGATGAGAGTTTGATTAGCTTTGCAGTTTGATTGTATGATGAGAGAGTTGAATCTTTTAATGTACCTGAAGAGGTTCTGACAGATCCTATGAGAGGGGGAACCGGTTGGGTCCAGAGACAGTTGAAGAGGCAGAGAGTTAAGCAGCAGCAGCGTCTAGCTTCGAGCTGGAGAGTTTTCAGACTTGAGTATGTTTCCAAGCTCTTCCTCTGAGAGCTGATAAAGGAATCCAGATTGAGATCTTCAGGTTTGGCTTACTTTGGCAGGCAGGCAGGTTCTCAGATTAAGCTCACCCAGAGCTTCAGACGTTGGTGGGATTTCCTGTGATCAAAGAAGACAGAGGCAGATTAGAAAAGCTTGTTTCTCTCTAGAGTCTACAAGATTTCCTAAATTCTTAGAGGCTCAGGTTCGCTAACCAAACTTGGTCAACACTGCGGCGTCGAAGGAAGGTCTGACTGCTGTTTATGAAGGTTGGTCTTCTGATGAGCTGATGATCCTCAGGTGTGGTGAGGACTCCAGCTCAGGAAGCCCACAGCACTCTCTGCTGGAGACAGGTGGCAGATCTCCAGATCCCAACAGTACCCCCCTCTCAACGACCGCCTCTTGGCGGTCCAGAAGACGTGGATGGGAGGGACCTCTCATAGTCCTTGATGAGGGATGGATCGAGGATGTAAGAACCAGGAACCCAGGTGCGGTCCTCCGGACCGTAGCCCTTCCAGTTGACGAGGTACTGCCAACCGCGACTTCGCCGACGGGAGTCCACGCTCCGGCGGACTGTGTAGGCCGGATGGCCGTCAATGTACAGGACGGGTGGAGGGGAGTCGGATGGCGGACAAAGTGGACTGGTGATGACAGGTTTAATCTGAGAGATGTGGAAGGTGAGGTGGATACGCAGGGATGATGGCAGGTGTAGGCGGACAGCGGATGGATTGATTATTTGAGCAATCTTGAATGGGCCGATGAACCTTGGAGAGAGTTTTCTGGACATAGACTTTAGGGAAATATCTCTGGTGGATAACCATACCTCTTGCCCAAGGGTATAGTTAGGAGCAGGGCGACGCCTAGAGTCAGCAAACCTTTTGTTATTGGCAGAAGAACGGTTGAGGGCGGAGATGGTTTCGTCCCAGGTTCGGTGACAGCGGCGGATGTGGTGGTGAACGGACCTGACTGATATCTCCCTCTCGTCTGCAGGAAAGAGTGGGGGTTGGTAACCCAGAGACACCTGGAAAGGGAACAGACCGGTTGCAGGAGATTTTTGAGTATTATGAGCATATTCGATCCAAGTCAGAAACTGACTCCAGTCAGTAGGATTATTTGAGGTTAAACAGCGGAGAGTGGACTCGAGTTGTTGGTTCATCCTCTCCGTCTGCCCATTGGTTTGAGGATGATAACCTGAAGTGAGGGAGACCTTGCAATTGAGAGCTGTACAGACAGATTTCCAGACCTGAGAGATGAACTGGGGACCACGATCAGAGAGAATTTCCTGGGGTATGCCATGGAGCCGGAAGACATGTTTAATGAGTAGCTGGGCGGTCTGGAATGCTGTAGGTAGCTTCCTGAGGGAAATCAAATGGCAGGCTTTGGAAAAACGGTCAACAATGGTGAGAATAGTGAACATACCTCGGGATATGGGAAGACCGGTAACAAAATCCACAGCTATGTGGTGTTGTGATTCTATAGTTAAATTCTATTCCCAGCCCGCTGGGAATTTATGTTTCTGATACTTTAAGATGTTTATTGCCCTCCCCTGTAGGGGTGGTAAAATATCTTATTTAATCAGATATTATTTCAGCTGTTATATACTGTTTATGACACACAGTCCTACTAACTGTGTGTTAGAACAATAAATGAAAGAGTGATTCGAGCACTAATCATGGTCAAACAGTTATTTCTGCACATACATGGAATAAATTCACCACAACTTCTGTTCAAAATATAAGATTTTATTAACAAAAATCATTCAGCTCCAAGTCAAACATATTTCAGTTTAACACTCTCAACTAAGACTAGTAAAACTCAACTAAACTAAACTAACTACTATGTACAAAGAGGAAGGGGAAACGGTTGAAAAACATATTACAGTTTAAGATGGATTCTGTGTTTGAAACCAATGTTTATCTGGAATAATTTGGAATGTGATCAAATTAGCTTTTCACTCATTTTAAAGAAATTGGAATGTTTTCAGACCAATTGACAATGCAAATCCATGAGGTGAATAAAACATTATTTGGCCAAATAATGTTTTATTAAATGATTTGCTTAATCAAGAACCAAAAACCTTTAGTTAAATGATTCTTTACCCTCTTTAAAGTAGCTAGCAGCGAATAGACATCAGGCTTCCACTAAATGACTCTTGGTCAGACTTGGTAATGGAAATGTAATGAGCATTTGAGGAACACATAAACACTAATGTTATTTCAGTGTTTAAATCCTTAGTGAATAAAGCTTGTCTAAGCTTTAGCAACAGCTCAACATATATTCCTGTAGCATAGCGTAGCATGCAGTCCATTCTTTAGCATCAATTAGCGTTGTCTTTACTCAGCAGTAAACACACGATATGATTAGCATCATCAAAAGACACATTGCTTGTTCTGTCCCTAATCATGCCAGACCTGCAAACCTTTTCCATGTCCATTTGGAAAGCTTGAGTTTCATCCAGTTTTGCAGCTCTGCAGTCAGGGATTCTTTGTCTCAGTCTCACAGCAGGGGTCCCCTCAGTCTCACACCAGGGCATGGTCTTCATCCAGTTTGGCTCTGTAAGTTCTGAAACTCAAGAGAAATGTGTTGCAAAAGTTCTGTTTGCAGCAGTTAGGTTCTGAAGAGTTCTGACTCATCCTTGATGGTTCTGGGGATCTGGTTTCCCTGGGGCCTGCATCTCCACTGTGGGCCACAGTGGGCCCCAGCTTTGAGCGCAGGAGCAGAAGCAGGCTGGATCAGACGAGGGAGAAAAAGTGAAGAGGAGAAGAGGAAGAATCCTGTGTGCTCTGTGGTTTTGTTCTGCCCTCACAGAGGGGGGTAGGTTTTCACACCTCTGTGACTTCCATGTGACTTGCTGGCTGAAAAAGGGGGGCTGCTGAAGTCCCCCAGCTGTTATTCACGAAAGCTGCGTTTTCTTCTCTGGTCATCCTATCAGGATGAAATATGGACACTGCTTCCCAATGTCCAAAAAGTATGATCATGGCATATGGCACAACAGTGGGACCATGGGCGGGTTGGAACAGGTAGAGGACGTAGCAATCCAGAGGGCGGTTGATGGGTGGGTTTAATTCTGGTGCAGATGGGACAGGCCAGTACGTACTCCTTCACGTCCTTGTGAAGGGACGGCCACCAAAAACGACGTGTGATCAGAGCAATAGTTCTGCTTACACCAAGATGAGCTGAGAATTTGGATGTGTGCATCCACTGGATGAGGCGGGATCTCACTGAGGAAGGAACATATGTTTTATTTGGAGGACCGTTACCTGGGTCAGGTTCAGAGGCCAGGGCTAAGTTGATGAGATCGGTGATTTCCCAGGAGACGGCTCCAACAGTACACGAAGAGGGAAGAACAGGCTCAGGTGTTTCAGGTCGATCAGAGGAGTACAGACGAGAGAGAGAATCAGGTTTCACCTTCTTGGAACTGGGTCTGTAAGAGATAATTGGGTTGAAACGGGAGAAAAACAAAGACCATCTGGAGTGACGAGGATTGGATCTTGTGGCTGATTGGAGATATGCCAGGTTCTTGTGATCAGTCCAAACTAATACTGGATGCTCGGCACCTTCGAGCCAGTGTCTCCATTCCTCCAAAGCGAGTTTAATGGCCAGGAGTTCTCTGTCTCCGACATCATAATTTTGCTCAGCCGGGGAGAGCCTACGTGAAAAAAAGGCACATGGGTGAGTCTTTTGATCAGAATCAGATTGTTGAGAAAGAACTGCTCCAACACCAGAGTCAGATGCATTCACCTCTAGAATTAACTGCTTAGAAGGATCAGGCTGGACCAGGATGGGTGCACTGGAAAAAAGAGTCTTAAGTTTCTTAAAGGCTGCGTCCGCCTCAGGTGTCCATTGGAAAGTCTTCTTTACCGAAGTCAGGGCTGTGAGAAGTAGAGCAGTTTGGCTATAATTTCAAATTAATCGTCTATAGAAATTAGCAAACCCCAGGAACCTTTGAAGTTGCTTACGGTTCTCTGAAGTAGGCCAATCCAGAACAGCTCTTATTTTTTCTTCAGATGGCTTCACCTGCCCGCCTTCAAGCACAAACTCAAGAAATGTAACAGATGGTTGGTGAAATTCACATTTCTCAGCCTTAACGAAGAGCTTGTTTTCGAGCAGCCTCTGAAGAACCAGGCGGACGTGTTTCTTGTGATCTGAGAGGTTCCTGGAATAGATCAGAATGTCATCGATGTAAACGAAAACAAAAACATTTAGAAAATCACTGAGGACGTCGTTGACTAGGGCTTGGAAAAAGGCAGGAGCGTTTGTAAGACCAAAAGGCATGACCAAATACTCAAACTGGCCAATGGGGGTCTTAAAGACAAAATTTAAGAAATATGTTCAAAATGAGAGTGTTCAACATACCTTTTACACATGCCATAAGATTAACTGTATTAAAAAGTAAAAATAATAATTTTTCTTTAACAGAACCCAATTTTGCTATGTTAGCAGAGATGTTAATTTTACCCAGGTTTCTAAAGAACAGGGATCAGTCGATTTCTTCACCGACGTTGAGACGAGTGGCCCTAAAAAACCAAACCCCTTTGTAGTCGGTCTTCCCCGCTGTTCCAACCTTAGGTGTTTGACACTCTCTGTAAATTACAGTGGCTGAGGTGAATCCAAGATGGTCTTTCAGCAATCTTCACACCTGTTGGCCTGGTCAGTAGCACTTGGAATGGTCATTTCCACCTTGGACTTGTCCCGTTTTTCCCTCTGATGACTGATGAACACCCAGTCCAGTCCCTGGTCTCACTGCTTGTGGATCCTGTGAAGATAAAGATCTTTCCCGCAGTGAATTTGCATTGGACACTTCTTTACCCCCGGCTCACACGGACTCCGGTCTTACCGTTGCGGTGCGGTAGGTGCGGCGCCGCAGTGATTCCAAGTCATTAAAAAGACGTAAACCTCTCTCACCGGCTGCTGAGCTGTCCGGCTGCGGTTACTGAGACACTCTGGCGCTGCAGAAAATTCAGCAAGAAAGCTATCCTTGCGGCGTGCCGGAGCCCTCCGCAACAAGCTCTCGCAAATATCCTTATTTGGGCCGTGTTATCGCGTGAAGTTCCGTGAACTCAAGTGAACTTCTGCTGTCGCGAGTTAAATCTCCGGACCTGTTGCCGGAGCCGCAGAGCCGCACCGCACCGTAGTCAAAAGGGCGGTGTGAGAGGGGGTGTGCGGGAGTTGCGGTCTCCGTCGGCTCGGTAACCGCACCGGAGCCAGTGTGAACAAGGGGTTAGACTGCAACATTTCTCTACGATGTGATCTACTGGTGTATTTTTTTTTCCTTAGGTGGCATTTGTATTGTGAACTTCACCCACCCAATTGTGTTGTAATTTGTATGGTCTGCCATATATTATTTCAAACAAAGTCAAAACACTGCTGGTCGGAGTTATTCTCATGGACAGTGATACTAGGTCCTGGCATTCTGTCATGGTCCTTTTTGTTTCTTTCATACACTTTTTAAGCCTGGATTAAACTGTCCCATTTGTTATTTCCACAAGTTCTGCACTTTGTGGAAGATAAGCGCAGTTATTCTTTAAGGTTATTTGTAACCTGCTTGCCATTTGCTGAATCACCTGATTCACAAAATGCGGACCAATGTCACTGTAAATTTTCTGTATGAGTCCAAAGTTTGGAACAACAACTTTGCATATAGCTTTAGCTACTGTCAATACATCTGCATGCTTTGCTGGGCCTATTTCAACTGTTGAAGAAAAAGTATTATTTTTAGCCTTTAATACAGTTAATCTTATGGCATGTGTAAAAGGTATGTTGAACACTCTCATTTTGAACATATTTCTTAATTTTGAACAAGGTTGTGTTAACGATTTAAAACTAAACTATTGATGGGTAAGTATTCAAAAGCACCGGAGGCCATAAAATGAGTATCTCCTGGGGGGCAAACATTATTTGAGCCTCGAGGAGAGAGGTCTGCCTGGTTTACAGAAGGTCAAAAGTCTTCCAGAATAAACATCTGGGATGGTGTGAAACTGAATACAATGTAGAATGTTAAAACACTAACATTTAGTTTTTAAGACATTTTTCTAAGTACTAATAGCATGTTTTTTAAATGGAAATTGTACTATCTGTGACAATATCAGAATCAAATAGAAATTGTTTGAATGAAAATGTTTTGTTTAGTATTAGAAAATTGCTCAGGATCTATGCTTAATGGGGTAATGGAATATGTTAGCTTGTATACTTAGGATTGAATATTATGTTTCATATTTGAGAAAAAGGAATTGTATCTCATGTTCTGTTGATTCTATGTGTTATTTTTTGTTTAAGGCAGGATTCAATCTTTTGGGGTGAAATGGTGCAGAAGAGCAAAATTGAGTTTGTGAAGATAACCTTTCCTTGAACCAGATTACTGAATTTAAGTTTGGGCTTGAGAATTTATGGTAGGCCCCCGCATTCCACACCGAATCTGTGAAACCTTATCTCATGTTAGCCAGATGACCTTAAAATTCTGGGAGGCCCGGCAGTAAATTAGGGGAAGTTTTTCTGAGTGTCAGAGATATCTCCTGGTTGGAGGAGCAAAATCAAGCCTTTTTGAATAAATTAAATACAAGAGGATAAAACTTTCTACACAGAAGTAACAAATCAGATTTGCTCTTGCAACTCTCCAAAGATGTCTTTGTACGTCTTTGCTTTCTTTCCTTCTCTCCATCTATGACAGGTAAATGAATGTATGTCTCCGTTGTTCTGCAGTTTTTGGTGTAAGTTTGTGCATTGTCTTATTTCTAAGTTTATGCATTGTCTTATATTGGATTAAACTCTGTAATTCTGTGACGTCAACACGCAATGCTGGTTTTCCTTGTGGCCACACGCAGCTCGCCAAGAGGAACCTGGGAAAGGAAGAGAGAAGCCAACCTTTTTCCAAAGTTAACTATTTTTAGAATATTTTCTTCCTTAACACAACCCATTTTGAAAATGCACCAATCATTACTAAACAGTATTTGTAAGGGCCACTACTTGGTAGTTCATTAAAATCCATATGCATCACTTAAACTTCCTCTGGTTCTAGAAAATGTCCTTGTTTTGGTCTTATATTACCTTGAGGATTATGTCTAACACAAACTGCACAGGCTTTACCAAAACGTTTCTGCATAAGAATTAAATCCATATTTTTTAAAATGTTGCTATATTAAAGTTACCATCCCTCCTGTTTGAGACATAGCATGGCCCATGGCTCAAAATAGCTGCTGCTTTCAATATGGGGAAGCTGCTGTTCCCACAGGGTCTAACCCTTTAGAGTAGTACGCTACAGTTTTGAGCTTATCAGCATGAGGCTGTAACAACACAGAGGTTATATAATTTGCCTTACCGTAGACTGTTTGGATGAACAGTTTTTGATCATTTGGTAGAGCTAAGACAGTTGCTGAGAAAAGTTCTGCTTTTAGCTCTGAATTGCTGTTCTGCTTCTGGAGTCCATTAGACATTTGATTGTCTCTGACATAGCTATTGGTGTGTTATAAATAAAGCTTCAGAGAGGCTGAGTTTTTTTTTTTTTTTTTTTAGTTTTACATAATGTGGACTCCAAGCTCTGCAGTAATTGCATAATTCTAAAAATGGATTTATTCTTTAGTTACTGGCTTACGGTCTCTTGCTATTGCAGTTTTTCACTGATCTTTTTTACCTTCTTCTGAAATAACATGGCCCAAGCAACAGACTTGTTTCTGCACCCGCTAAATTTTTTACAACTGGTTTTATACTTTCCTTTGCTTCACATTTTAGCAGATATTTCTTTATCTGCGGCCTGTATTGCGAGTTAGGAACTCTTTTAAATGGATCTACAATTGTCAACAGTCCTACATCAATTTTTCCTGTAGACCACAAAGCATTTGGAATATCTTTTAAATCATTTTCATCAGATTGTGATAGCAAAGAATGCTGAGTTTTTTAACACATGCTAAATCTTGGACCCGGGGTTTTACATCGAACAGAATTTTATAAGGGTGTTTCCATAGTTGGAACAGATGGACATGGAGCAGAGATGGTAAGCATGTTGCATAAAACACAGGAGGATTTAGTTGCAACTATCATGATAGGTTTCAGTGATTTAACCCACATGCAGAACACCACGGGAGACTGAATGAAAGTTCAACAGTTTATTTGGAAGAACACACAGAATAAATGATCAGACAGGTTCTGGTACTGGTCCGGGACTCGTATCAATGACTTATCTGTAGAGAGGGATTGTTTGGTTAGCCAGATGGCAGCGAAATCTTGACAGTGTCTTGATTCTGATTTGTACCTGATGAGGTTCAGGCTAATCAATGGAGAGAGGGAACCAGTTGGGTCCAGAGTCAATGGCTATCGAGGTTCAGACCTTTAGTTGTTCTCCTAGTTCTCCCCAGAGAACTAGCTGGGAGATTCTGACTGATGATCTTCAGGTTTGCCTTCTCTGGGCAGGCAGGCAGGTTTCCAAACATGAACTCCTCCAGAGCTAAAGAATTCAGTCGGGTTTTCCTAGGAGCAGAGAAGACAGAAGCAGATTAGAACCAGGGTTACTCTCCTGAGTAGACTGAGATTCTATATGCAGGCTTAGGCTCAGGTTCTGCTAATCAAAACTGGTCAACACTCCGGCGCTGAAGACAGGTCTGGCCGCTGCTTAAGTAGTGGGTCTCCTAATCAGGTGAATCAGCCTCAGGTGTGCAGGAGGCTACAGCTCAGGAGACCCACGGCGCTCTCTGCTGGAGGAAGGTGGCAGATCTCCAGATCCCAACAGCAACGCCATTACATGTTCTATTCGTACAGCCTTCATTCCCCCAGCATGGGGAAAATTGCAATGCCTTTTTTTTTTATCAAGTCTCGCCCTAACAGATTAATTGGTCCAGTAGGTGATATTAATACAGAAGCATGCAACGTTTTACCTGTTTGAAGGTTTTCTATTTCTATTGCCTTTGACATCCATTCTTGGGATGTTTGGCCATTTGCTGATTTTACAAAAATTGGCATTTTAGATGCTGTTAGCATTTACATTATCTTTAATACAAGTATTACAGGCTCCTGAATCACAAATAAGTGTAACTGCCTGTCCATCAATTGTAACTACTATTTATGTTTGTTTTTTTATTTTTTATTATGTGGTTTCATACTTTAATAAAATATATATATATATATATATATATATATATATATATATATATATATATATATATATATAAATACATATATATCAGAACAACTGTTCTCATTGTTGCATTTAGTCATGTTTCCTAACCAGCGGACAACAAGGCCTTCCTCCAGCAAAATAAAGTCTTTGTCATGATGGGTACTCTAAGAGTGACCCAATTATGCAGAACACCACTAGACGGACACAGGAATAAAAGTTCAACAAGTTTATTTGGTCACAAGCACACTGATTATACTGGTTCTGGTTCGGGCCTGGATACTGGTTCACCAGAGTCTGCGTGAGAGACAGTTCAGTTAGCGTAGCACGTTGGAGCTTGCTTTCTTGATTGTTACTTATTGTACCTTGAGGGTTCTTGTGGTTAGCTTTGGGAGGGTCACTGTTGGATATGGAGAGGAGTTGATCAGCAGAGTCCGTTTGCTGCTTCAGCGTCTCACTTCTAGTTTTGAGCAGACCTTGGCTTTGGGTTTTCCAGCTCTTGGTCCAGAGCTGCATGGAAGTTCACTGAGGTTCTTCAGGTTTGGCTCTGAGGGTCGGCTCGGCTGGTTAGCTCTTCCTGAGCTCCACAGAGGAGAAACTGGTTTCCTGGAAGACAGAGACAAAGGTTAGAATCCAGGCTGGATTCAAAGTCACAAAGATTCGCTGACCAACTGGATCAACACTGCGGCGTTGAGGCAAGGTCTGAAGACAGCTTATATAGTGGATCCTCTGATGATCTGATGGGCTGCAGCTGTGCAGGAGGCTCACTCAGAAGGATCCACGGCGGACTCTGCTGGAGAAAGGTGGAACTTCTCCAGCTCCCAACAGTCTTGTGCTGAAGCAGAAACACCATTTTCTTTCTTCCCCCATCTAGTGGAACACAATTAGCGACCCACATTCCTGATTTAACTCTCATTTGCAAACAGAAACACCAACACAGAAGCCTGGGTTTTTACCGAGTCCGCTTCCTTTTATGACTTTGTAGAGGTTGCAATAGTTTGTTCCGTTGTCAAATAAGTTGAACCAAATTGGAGACACAAAGGAACCCTGTACGTTGCAGCCCATTGGCAGTGTTGTAGGTTTCATTGTGAAGTTAAGCTTTGCAACTTTAGAGGTGTGATTGGCCAGAATTTGATCTGGTGTTAATGGGCCAAGCTTGAATGACTCCTTGTGTTTAATACTTGACACAATGGCCATGTAAACTTGAACACATGGAACTCCAAATAAGCAGACAATCTTGCAAAAGGCATAAGGAGATGGAGATGGTTTTCCTCTTGTTATTTAAATGCACGTTTAGCTTATTTTTTGGCATTGCTGTGGTTACATTTAGGGCTGCAACAACGAATCGATAAAATCGATAAAAATCGACTTTTAAAAGCGTTGGCAACGAATTTCATCATCGATTAGTTGTGTCGCGCGATTATTGCGTCATCCGCCGCGCCGTCATCACTGCCTCTTGACTGAAAGAGGAAGAAAAAAAAAAAAAGGCAGAGCGAGTCAGCGCCGCAGGTGCAGTGTTGCCAACTCCGCGACTTTTCAGACCCCTCCAGCGACTATTTTTCAAAAAAGCGTCCTAGCGACAAATCTGGCGACTTTTTTCGGTGTCACTGGCGGCTTTTGGAGACTCTTACGTGAAAGCATGTATCGTTCCTACTCTGCCGTGGGGCGCCTCCCCCACCCCAACCGCGTTTTCCCGCAGGAGTCCCTCTCAGCGCTGCAGTCAGACCCTCAGCGTCCAGACTGCAAATGAAGCGCGCATGCACCGGGATTGACGGCACAAATTGATCACAATAATTAAAATAGCCTGCGCTTTGTAAAGCGAAAAAAGTGATAACATGCAACTTTTTTCAAAAGAAATTAACATGGCACGGAACCACCATGTTTGTTTGGTTTTAAAGTGGGGAAACGTAACGTTAGTTTCTCAGGTAGCTCATCTGATGCTTTCCTTACCGTGTTAGTAGGTTACAGACAGGGATAAGGTTGGCTACTTATTTTACCTTTAATTTCATTTGAATTAGCTTAAGCAGCGTTTATATTTTCTTTATAAATAAATTAACTTGCAAATTATGAGGGCAAGGCTTTTAAAGTTTAAATCTTCTGGCAAAGTTAAAGTAAAGAAGATCCTGCAATTTATGGAAGTAAAGCAGAATAAAATCCAGCAAGATCAGTAATATGTCAATTAATTATCTGCCACATTCCCATGTAAATATCTGTCTTTGGAGGATGTGTTTTTTAGCACCCCTAGTTCTCTCATTTTTATTCCGAATACAATTTATAATTTGAATCACAGGGCTATTTTTATCTCTATGGTTCAGTATTTTCTCAAGCAGCAACTTTAACTGCTATACTTTCCTGTCTTAAAAGGCAGAACTCTTCTAGTCTAAAAAAACTAATTTGTTGAAATGGGGGGGGCCTATTGTTTGAACCCCTTAGGGGCTTTAAAAACAAAAATGTCTTTTTTTGCGCTTTATGAAACAAAGTAGCCTATATTTTGTGGATGTACAGCTACATTTCTCATGTAAGTTTGCGTAGTTTTAACACAAACATTTATTTTTCATATTGCACCAGTACAGTTAACGAGCAACCTGTACTTGTGTGCTTGTTTGTTCTGTCTAAAATGTTTATTTTGGAATAAAGAGGTTAATATAAAAAATATTTTTTGTCCGATTCATCGATTAATCGAAAAAATAATCGTCCGATTCATCGATTTTTAAAATAATCGTTAGTTGCAGCCCTAGTTACATTAGACGTTGCCAGTTTCAGTTATTATTTCTTTTTTTTTTTTTTTTTTTTTTTAGCCCCTGCTGAGATATGAGGATGGACATCTCCCATTAGCATATTTTTAGTTGCTGCTGATATGGTGTTTTATCTTCATCAATGTAGGGTATACCATAGCAAATCTACATTCCTTTTTATTTTATTTTATGGACCTTAAATATCTATAATCCACCCTCCTGTGCAAAACTTCTAGGCTGCGTCTGGTCTGTAGATAAAGGAAGATCTGATTTACTCAGGTCATCCAATTGTGGATACAAATTGGGCAATTTGCCTGGGGGGTTAAACGATTATATGGCCGTGATATATGTTTTTCAGTCGCTACCAAAGTTTGCTTGACTAAAGTCATTTACTGACGGGTTCTTTTGTTTATAACCTAATAATGTTGGAGAAAATCACTACTCCAGCGAACGACCCCCCCCCCCCCCCCCCCCCCCCCCACTCCTGCAGATTCAAGCTGTCTCCTTCTACAAGGGGTTTCATTATCTTCTGGTCGCACAAACAACTTAAAAGACGGACAAACATAACATTAAAGACGGACAAAAATAACAAATCTATTAATTTTATTTTTC